TACTTTTTTATTATAGATATGTGGATGAACTTTGTACCGCGATTCCAGAACAAATGATAGATTCATTTTTTGAGTGTTTCAATTCTGTTCATGACCGTCTCAAATTTACGTTGGAGATAGGTGGTACTTCTCTTAACTTCCTAGATGTAAAAATAAAGATCATACCACGTACTGATTTTAACATGCCTTGTTGGCCGAAAGATAATTGACAACACTAGCGACAGAGTCACACTTTGTTTATAATAGATATATAAGCCATGTTAAAACCTTCAGTACCTGTTTGGAGATTAAGACTATTCACTTGTCTTTTAATATTTAGCATTTCAGAGATAAGACCCTTATTGTGTAACATGGTTCTTCATCTAAAATTTTTATGTTGTTCCAATCAAAATCATGTTGCATTTGCATCCTGTGTTCAGTTATCACAGAACGGGTAGTCGTGTTCCAATTAATATGGTTGCGATGTTCCGCAATTCTAGTTTTTAATTGTCTACCCGTTTGTCCCACATAAGACGCATTACAATCATTGCAACAGATCTTATAGACTACATTACATTTTTTTGATTGTTCTACATTATCTTTCTGCACTTTAATATACTTATTAAGCTTGTTCGTACTGTGAAATGCTATTCTGGTTTTGTTATTGTGTATGCGTTTGAATCTATCTGTGAGTCCTGGGATAAAAGGCATCCCAAACCAAGATACATTATTTTCAGAATCCCTATTATTTTCTTTGTTCTTTTGTATTTTAAATTCTCTTTTGTGAATGTTATCAATTCTGTTGTTAATAGTATCAAAAATAAATTCAATTGGATAGTCATTATGTAAAAGAGTATTAATTATAAAATTTATATTCTTTTTATGATATTCTTTATTAGAAAGTAATAAAGCTCTATCAACCAAACTAAATATTATTGCTTTCTTTTGAGACATAGGATGGTTAGAAAAAAAATTGATAAATCTACCTGAAAAGGTCGGTTTCTGATACCAATCGAAATTTAGTTGTTCATTAATGACCTTTATTTTTACATCTAGGAAGTTAAGAGAAGTACCACCTATCTCCAACACGTAAATTAGAGACGGTCATGAACAGAATTGAAACACTCAAAAAATTAATCTATCATTTGTTCTGGAATCGCGGTACAAAGATCATCCACATATCTATAATAAAAAAGTACCTGACTATTAAACATACTAAGAGTTGTTTTTTCTAACTTCTGCATAACTAAATCCGCGATAATAGGCGAAAGTGGAGAACCCATAGGTGTGCCGTAATTCTGTTTGTATATAATATTGTTGAAAATAAAATAAGAAGAATCTAAAACTAACTGTATTGCTGTTAAAAATTCAGATTTCGGTAGGGAACATTTCTTTGTGATATGATTCCAGTTTTCGTTGATGCAATCCATAGCATAATCAATCGGTATATTCGTAAATAGTGAAATAACATCTAATGATATTAACTTAAAATCTTTGTTAATTAATGTTCCATTTAATCTTATTTATTATTTACTAATAAATAGACTCAGAGCTAATCATGTGAATACTCAAGAAAGTCTTCATAGAATTGGTATTGTGAATTCATCGGCCTGTCCGTGCGGCGATTCCCGCCAAACCGTCAATCATCTTATTTTTCACTGTGTAACATATAATAAAGACTCTCTTCCAATCCGTAAATATATCGAGAACAAATTTCCTGACTCCCCCCAAGATATCCTCCCTGCCCTTTCCTCCCCCTCCCCCAGGCTCTGCCGCTTGATCTTGACCTTTATGAAGGCCAACGACCTTTTCTTTTAATCTTGACTCCTTTCTATCCTTTGACGCGCTGTTTACCGATAGATGGCAGCAGGCGTCTGGGTGGTGGGGGTCTACGCAGGGGAAAGAAATTGGACAACTCTGCTAGGATTCCGCCGAAAGCAACGAATCAATTTTGAGGACATCAGTGGCCTAGTCCAACCTTGGTTGCCTGGCCAAAATCAGAAGAAGAAGAAGAGAATTGTGCTTTAAAAAATGTATTTAAAATATATAATTGGTGGTCACAACGCCAGAAAAAATGTATCAGGTTTAAAAAATAAAATACGAAATTTCTTTTTTTAAATACGTTTTAGATTTCTTTTCCCTTCCTTTCCTTTGTAATATATATAAACGTATGTATAAACGTATGTACGAACGTATGTATAAACGCATGTATGAACGTATGTATAAACGTATGTATAAACGTATATACGTATGAACGTATGTATAAACGTATGTATAAACGTATGTATAAACGTATGTACGTATAAACGTATGTATAAACGTATGTACGTATAAACGTATGTATAAACGTATGTACGTATAAACGTATGTATAAACGTATGTACGTATAAACGTATGTATAAACGTATGTACGTATAAACGTATGTATAAACGTATGTACGTATAAACGTATGTATAAACGTATGTACGTATAAACGTATGTATAAACGTATGTACGTATAAACGTATGTATAAACGTATGTATAAATGTATGTATGTATAAACGTATGTATGAACGTATGTATAAACGTATGTATGTATAAACGTATGTACGTATAAACGTATGTACGTATAAACGTATGTATAAACGTATGTACATATAAACGTATGTATAAACGTATGTATATACGTATGTATAAACGGATATATGTATGAACGTATGTATAAACGTATGTATGTATAAACGTATGTATGTATATATAAACGTATGTATGTATGAACGTATGTATGAACGTATGTACGTATAAACGTATGTATAAACGTATGTATGCATGTATGTATAAACGTACGTATAAACGTGTTGCGACACGTT